AACTACCTTCAGAACAAAATCTCACCTTACATGTTTGAGAGTAGTTTCCYGAATAATTTACATGTCTGAAGTTCATAAAATCAAGCTGACAATGTCATCTTTAAAAATACAGGCATGTTGCCTGATTAGRTTAATTTTTTTATAGTGTTTTCACTGGACAAAGACAGCACTGCATTCCAAACCTCATGTTTAAAGCATAAATAAAACCCCAAATGGTGGAATAATTTCAGCTTATTTTCAAAATGTTTCACATAGTATCCATTCTCCAATTCCTTATGTAAAATCATGGTTTGGCCTAAGGCAAGTCTAAGGCTATGCTAGTAGAGTAACATGAAGAAAGTTTTACTCCTTTGTTCTCATAAGCAGGCAGAGATGCAGATGAGATCCTGTGGCAATGGAGAGCCTATCCAACAAGAGCTGAACATTTTGGTCTCTTATACATACAAGCATCCGCGCTTTGTTGGAYTGAAATGTCAAGATTTCCAACTACAGAAAGAATTAAATGGTTGGTAGAAGTATTAAACAAGGCATTAAAGTCCAGTATGTCCATCTGGACTCGAAAACAAAACAAAACAAACAAACAAAAAACAAACAAAAAAAAAACCAAACAAATAAACAAGCTGGAAAAGGCTGCTCTAAATGACCTTATTTAGAGATTCAAAGTAAGAGAATTCAAAAAGCTCTGAATCTCACACAAGGAGCGGGTAGCACAGGGCTGAAGAATACAGAGTAATGCAGGAGAATTACAGAAATACTATTCACCACCATAAGAAGTAAATTTGTCGGCAAAGCTCTGCTAAAGCCCAAACTGAGTAGCATTTTGAAGGACAACAGAAGGACTTCTTTTTAAATTCTCTAATTGCAAAAGAAGGACCAGAGATAATATTGATCTATTACCTGACTAGGCCAGTCACCTCAAAAACAGGATGCAGGCAAAGCAGATGCAATAAATGCCTTTTTGCCTCTGTCTTTAACATCAGGGAGTCCTAAGCTCTGTTTTGGAAGGCTGTAATTAGGGAAATTATAAACTCCCAGCTAACTGAGCTTGACACTTGCTGGTCTAGCTAGATTAACTTCAATTTAAGCGGTCCAATGGGATCTATCCCAGTGTACTGTAAAATCGGACTAATGTAATTGCAGAATCTCTCCCCACTGTTTTTTCAACAGTGTTTGGAGTCTGGAGAGGTCCCAGTCAACCAAAAGCATAGCAAATGTTATCCCAGTTTTCAAGAAGCGTAGGAAGGAAGACTCTGGTAATTACAGGCTTGTAAGTCACACTTAAGTGAGTGGAAAAATTACAGATAAATTTATTCTGAGTTACTGAAAAATACCTGAGACACAATACAGTCATTGGTCATAACAACCACTGGTTCATGAAGGAAAGTCCTGCTAAATTGATTTCCTTTTATGACAAGGTCACCCATCTAGTTGTCTAAGGAAAAGCAATAGATGTGKGTTCTTTGATTTTAACAAAGCCTTTGATACTGTCTCTCACAGCACCCTTCTGGATGAAATGCCCAGCACACAGCTACTCAAGTTCCTAATACATTGTGTGAGCAATTGACTGACTCAACGAATTACAATAAATGGGATTGTATCAGGCTGGCAGCCAATCACCAGTGGGGTTCCCAAGGGCCCAATTTTAGGCCAGTGCTCTTTGGTGTTTTTATAAATTGTCTGGATGCAGGAATTAAATGTATATTAARGATGTTTGCCAGTACTAAATGGGAGTAACTATGAACTCCCTCAAGGGTAGAGAGACTTTACAGAGAGATGTGGATAAACTAGAGAGGTGGTAATCACCAACTGCATAAAATTTAACAAGTGCCAGATTCTCAACTTGAGAGTAATCCTGGTTAAATATAATTGGTGAGAGACTGAAGAGAAGCACCARATAAAGAGACAGTTTAGGTAGAGGGCAAGCTGGATGTGAGTCAACAATATGCCTTGGCAGCCAAAAGAGCCAGATGTGTCCTGGGGTACATCAAGCACAACACTGTCAACCAGYCCAGGAAGGTGATTGTTCTGCTCTGCAGTGCACTGTTGCAGCCCATTTCAAGTCCTTTGGGCAACAGTGGGTGCCTCAGTACATGAAGGACAATAAACTATTACAGTGTGTCCAGAGGAGGGTGACCGAGGTGTGAAGGGCCTTGAGGACAAGGCATTCAAGAGCAGCTGAGGTCACTCTCTTCACCCTGGAGAAGGGAAGATTGAGACCTGTCCTTATCAGAGACTAGTTTCCTCACYAGGGGCAGTGGAGGACATCCTACCCTCTCTGGTGACCAGCAATGTGACATGAGGAAATGGAATGAAGATTAATCAGGGGAAATTCACACTGGACATTAGGGAAGAGTTCTTTATGAAGAGAATGGATAGTCACTGGAACAGGTTTCCCAGAAAAGTGGTTACAGTGCCAAGCCTGTCAGAGTCCAARGAGTGTCTGGACGATGTTCTWAATCATATGGTTTAGGTTTAGGTAGTCCTGCAGGGCATTGGATTAGATGATCCTTATGAAGCCCTTACTGAAGATATTTTATGATTCTAAAATGAAGACAGAGCATCTGTCCCACAAGATGTAAATGGAATTTACATTGTTTACCAGTTTTGTTTAGTTAAAGAGAAACCTGTTTCCCTGAAACACTGATTAGTTGAGCAAATCTACTAACCTTGAAGGTTTAACAAGGTGACTGTAACATATTTTTTTATCTTTGTAATTCAAAAGTATACCCATTGACTTTCTAGCTGTTATATTGATGCAAGGCCAGCAGCAGGTAAGAATCAGGCCACCAGATGGTAAAGCATAAATTCATGAATGCATAGGATACATTATGTAGTTTACTTCCTGCATCTTGCTTATCAAGAATAATAGAAAGGACTTACTTCCATTATTTTTAGATTATTTACAGAAGGATTTAGGGAAGTTTTTTTGTCACTAAAAAACCTTTTTTCAAACTAGCATAAAGCTTTATATTATTTTTTCTTACATTTTCATTTTAAAAAGCTKGACAAATAGGTCACTTGAAATATTTAAACAAAAAATAATACTTAAAGATCCTTCAAACAGAAAGTCTGAATACAGTTGAATCATGATCTTTTTTATAGGATGCTGCTTGTAGGACAAAGGAGTTTTATTAGTTCGGTGTCGTAGCAACAGCCACATAAACTTAAATTTTTACTTGATGAGGTGTATATAGCTCAGAGAGGAAGAATTTCAGTGTGATCCCTACTAATTTACAGAATAACAAAAATCAATATTGACTTGATATTATATAGAAGCTAGTCTGTAAATATCAGTATATTAAAATAGAACTTCAGGAAATATTTGAGGTTAGTGGCAGTAAAAAGGAAAATTCTTATTCAGTGTGAGACTGGTTTTGGCTTTCTTTTCTGAGAATAATATTGATAGGATTTTGGCATAAGAACTAAACATTTATGACAATCTAAAAGAAATAAATACCTTTTCATATGTCCCACACAAAGGATTTCCAGATTGTTAGTGATAAAATAAGGATCCTAGCCTAAAATCAATGCACCTTGAAGATCACCACACCACACTTTGTGATTCTAGTTGTTGTAGATGACCTGACACCCAGAGWGGCTGGCCTTACTGTCTCAACCCTCTTGACATGTGTCAGCTTCAGCGCCACAGATTTAATTATTCATACTTTTGTGCTCAAAATGTTTTTCAGTGCCAGGGGACAAGGAGCAACAGGACACACTGCTATCTGTGCAGCCAACACGTGCTCAGTTAGAGCAACAGACTGAGCTTGCAAACTTTGCTTCTTAAAGGGGGGAATACAAAAATAATAGAGATATTGAGGGGGAAGAGGGGAGGAAYGTGCTTCCTGAACTAAAACCTGTTTGATGAGTGGAAGTACCATTCTCACTGAACTTATGCTCCTATCCCTGTTAGAAAGGGATAGTCTTTTTTCATCTTTCTCTTCACTTTTTTCTTTTCTTTTTCACTTTCCTTTCCTTT